TTAGGATGATTAAGAATAATAATAAATGTAGGATTCATTTATCAATATTCTTCGACGTTTGAGGGGTTTTATTTTGGAATCTGTTCAAAATATCTATTTTTTTCTAGTATATACTGTTCACTAAAACATTATTTCAGAAATGTGCATTATTACAATGTTCAAGTGTGTGAATGGCAATCCAAAAATGCACACAATAGATCCACATATAAGGTGTGATAGCTGACCAAGAACTGGATCACTTGGCATGTCAGAGGTGAGCTCAATTTGTATTTATTTACTTTGTGCCCGGATATGGTATGTGCGGATAAGCACATGGATAACAAACCTGTCTAATTTTTTACAAACTGCATTATTCTTTCTCTTTTGTAAGTTGCTTTTTGATAAAAGTGTCTGCTAAATGCATAAATGTAATTGTAAATGGATAACTTGAATGTAGATAAGCAAATGGATATCATATGTGTGGATAAGAACATAGGTACATCAATCATAACAAAACCTGAAGGAAGCACTACAGATCCATCTCCCATATGATCATGGAGAAATAAAAACCTTGCATGTGAGCAGCCACTACTAGATCTGTATTACCAGTTATTATTTCAAGACAGGCTATTTTCTTGATGAACTAGGTATTTATTCAGATTGAAATAAGTAAAAGTTTTGATACCACACTATGACAACACTCCATTGTGTTCCTGTATTCAATTATTATTGTATTATTATGTAGAAACAAATGTAAAAGTACACATTGTGCAGTGGTTCCTGACAGTGTATAATATTTTTGGATTTATATAACTGCTACATAAATGTGGCATGCTAGGTGTTGAGATCATTTTAACTATTTTATATACTGTTGGGTAGCCAGGAAACATATACAGAAAATTTTTTTAAATCACATGATCGGTCTTCTAATAAACCCCATTTTTAGTAAATGTAAAAATAATTTCTACAGTCCTGCAGATGTCTCTGCAATGTGGTGATTCTGACAGTGATGCAGTTCAGTGACAAATATCTTTTGGTGTTTTGGCGGTGACTACATATTTGATTGCACCGTTAGCAGCCTACAGCCTAAGGCTGCATCTTTAGTGCTTAAAGTCTATGTTGATATATAAGATGCACCAAAAAAAAAAAGTCTGGAAACACTTTTTAAAGAAAAAGAGCAGTACACACAATATGTTGGCTGCCATGATACTGCTCCCATTAAAGCGCTGGTTCTCTGTAATGTTAAAGGGTGTGTTAAAGCTATATTAATATTATTAAACTGTATTTGCAAAACTATTTTATTATTATTGATAAGAATAATACGTTACCTCTCAAACATCACTAATTTCTGTCATTTTGCCAAATATTTTCCTTGGTTAAACATCTTGATTTGATGTTTTCTTTATTTTGTAATGTTTCAAGTTAAAATGTTTTATTTTGTTCTAAACTGCATTCTATATAAATTCGCAATAGACTATGTTGAATGACATAGGCAGTAAAACTAGTTACTGTTAAACCAGTAAACATTGATTTGCAATCCTGCAGAATTACGCCATCAAAACAGAAATAGAATATAGATTCACAAATAGAAACACAGTCAAATGTTTGAATGGACACATCCCAGAAATATTTGTTGAGTTATAATAGTAATTGTTTTTCTCTTACTTGCCACTGCAACACTCATCATATTTCAGTCAGGTCTGGTCTTGAACTAACACACTTATACTGATGCTCCTTGCTTTAATGTACAATTATGTATAAAATATTCAGAGTCTAAATTTACATTTACATTTATTCATTTAGCAGACGCTTTTATCCAAAGCGTCTTACAATTGAGGAATACAGTAAGCGATTCATCATAAAGAGGCAAATAATTGCAGGAAGTGCTTGCAATACAAAGTTTCATGCATTGTTCAGATTAGTACAAGCTAGACAGGGAGAGATTAAGGAAACAGAAAGCAAAGTTTTTTTATTTTATTTATTTACAATATTTGCTAGTAAAACTACCAAGTGGAGGTACTATGCACTGTAAAAAATGACCGTGAATTTAACGGTAAAATACTGTAAAAATGCTACAGTAAAAACCTGTTAAAAGGTTAACGGTAAATTCTCCTACTATATACAGTGAAAAACTGTATTGGACATTACATGTATTGACATTACTTTTACGGTAGTATACCGTTTTTGGACGTGAAAAACACTGTATAATTTACAGTGAATAACAGTAAATTGACGTTCCCAGAATTCCCTGCGTTACATTTCAAATTTGATGTTTTTTTGTTGAAATAACTATGTTTCTTCTTAGTTTTTTCTTATCAGTTTTGTATATTAGGGTTGTGTGTTACACCTAATGTTGTTAAATGATTGTTTATTGCATTATTTCAGTTTCATGTGTGTTACCGTGATGGTGTTTGTGTGAATGACACACTGTGCACCTTCTATGTATGTTATTATTTAAAAGCTGCTTGTGATGGGCTTTGGTTCATCATGTGACTTTCTCATCACCTCCTGCATTTGGTGGTTATCAGTGTAATACAAAGCTACAAAACAGATTTCAGTACTTCAATAGGTTGGTATATTAACATTATATCAGTTAATGAAATTACGGTATTTAACTGTAAATTTAAGTTCAAACCGTAAAACCTAAAACGTTGCTACCATATTTTTTACGGTAAAATTACGGCAACCACAGCTGCCGTTTTTTTTACAGTGTGGTTTTGAGGGATACCAGTCCACGGCTTTACCACTGTAGAAAGTGTGATTGCAATATTTTATGTATTGACTTTTTGCTATGCACTTATTTACAGCAATTTATAATAAAATTATAAATAAGTCTCTAATAAACTAAATAGCATGTTGTCCTTGTATAGTTTCCGGGTTTGCTGTGCTGCATGGGGATAGCCTACTCCAATCACTCCCAAAAAGGATTAGGGCAGGCTATACATTTCCCCACAGACAAAAAAATGTTGAGGCAGGAGTAAACATACTTGACAACTGGAAACAACATTTCACTTTTTCACGAAGTTCCCACACACTATTGGGAAGTTTAGTTTTAGGTGTACTAGAAATAATGAACAGGGAAAGGCTGACAAAACAGGGAGCTGAGACGGCGAAAAACAGTGACAAAATTAGTGTGAAACTTTATTAGCTTTTCGAAATAATTCAATAAAATCAGTTGCGATTTGAGATGCGGAGATTCTGTTTGTTGCGCGTTGTCTTAAGGACACGCCCACAAGAGAAATATTATGAATATTTATGAAATTTCAGGAACCAAATAGTCCTGTTATTTTAGCATCGCACAAAGTTTAGAAAGCGGTGTTTCAAAGTTTAAAAGGGCGATAGAAAACACTCAAATATTAACCCTTTTGGCTTTCATAAAACAAACCGGTCATACGGCGAATGGGCGATGTATCATAAATATTAATAAAACACGTAACTGATTAAACGGGCCAGGAATATGAAAGCATACAGGTAGCGAAATTAAATTTAAAATGCAATATGCAAAATGGCAATTTATTTCTGTATTTAAATTTTTATTTTCCATTACCCATACGTGCAAAGTTTGTTGCAAAAGGTATTATATAATTTACATTTGCCATTTACAACAGTAGTCTTAATATGTAAATTGCATGCAAATTTGAATGCTTTATAAGTTGCGAAATGAAAATGTATAACACAAATTGATTTGTTATGTGTAACATGTTCGAGCAGAAATGGTAGCAAAATGATCATTTAAATGCTATTTGTTCTAAATGCATTTAGACCAGCAGTTAGAACACTTAGGATTGCATTTTCATCATTACGCAGTGGGATATTTGTAGCAAAATTCAATTTGAAAATGCATTCCGAGCTGACCACGCCCACCCTCCGTCAATCATTGCTTCAAGGCAGGGATTGGTGGAAGCGTGGTACATTTGGATCGTTTGAAACATGACGGCTGGAGATCTGATACGATCGTTGAATTCACTGGCAGATGAAGTGGGGCGTGAACAGAGAAATATATGAAGCGTATTCCATGCAAAAATCAAACGTTCGAACGACTGCCCGACAAACCGAACGTCTTGAGCTTTGAGCGTCTTACACTGCTGCTGACCCACGTGACGCCAGCGTCTTGAAATTAGCTGGTGTTTAAACATTTAAGGAGCCAAGCTGCTGTGTAAAGACTATAAATGGACATTACAAGCATTACAATAATGCTATTTTATACCTAAAATAATACTCAACCATTTCCTGCATCCTGCTGTACTTCCCTGAATAAGTTTTTAAAGATGTTGTAGGCTAATAAGTCGTTCTGAGTAATAAATTGAAAAAGCTCCCACCTGTATTTGACTAAACAAAATAACATGTAGTTTACTTGAGGTTCTGCTATAAATGTGTCTATTAAAAACATTAATTCAAATGATCAATGATTGACGGAGGGTGGGCGTGGTCAGCTCGGAATGCATTTTCAAACTGAATTTTGCTACAAATGATGAAAATGCAATCCTAAGTGTTCTAACTGTTAGTCTAAATGCATTTAGGACAAATAGCATTTAAATGATCATTTTGACACCATTTCTGCTCGAACATGTTACACATATCAAATCAATTTGTGTTTCATTTTCATTTCACAACTTATAAAGCGTTCAAATTTGCATGCAATTTACATATGAAGACTACTGTTGGAAATGGCAAATGTAAATTATATAATTTAATTTTCCTTTTGCACCAAACCTTGCACGTATGGGTAATGGAAATTTTAAATTTAAATACAGAAATACATTGCCATTTTGAATATTGCATTGCAATTTTGCATATTGCATTTTAAATTGAATTTCGCTACCTATATGCTTCCATACAGGAAGGACGTACGCGATTCTATTATCAATATGAATGAGGTAAACCTTCACCATAGTAGGATTCGTATCGTTTCGAACATAGATATAACGCACGCACACGCAGTGCATTATGGGAATGAAAATGGAAGGTGAGAAACAACATACATAACGCAAACGTGTGTCGTTTCGAGGAACTTTGAGCTTTAATAGTTGCGCTGAGGAAAACAACACAATGCAGAGGGTGATTTTGTTTAGCGGCGCTTTCAGAGCGACCCTGACAGGACCAGGCGGACTCCACGCGCGCTATTCTCGCTGCTCGAGACGTGAGAATGTGTGCAGGACGCAGCTTAGAAAACACTCTCAGGATCAACCTAGCGATAATACAGTACACTTTCGCTGTTTCAGCTTACCGCACAGGACTCTCATCAGTGTGTCCGGACAAGACACGACCTCACTTCTTCAAGGAATAATAACCAATGACATGGCTCTTCTGGAAGAGGATGCAGTGTGTGCGATGTATGCTCACATTCTCAGTGTTCAAGGCAGGACACTGTACGACATCATCCTTTACAGGTAATATACTGCATTGTTTCCATATTTTTCAGTTAGTTTGAATTGTAAAGTAGACACGGAATGTCATATTAATGTGATTTTAGAAGTGCTGGAGTTTTGTGAGTAAGGTTAGTGAGATGTGGGCGTGACCTCAGCATTATCTCACTGTCCCACCCTGGACTAACTTACTAACTTACAGATATGAAGTTGTTCTTCTGCTCTGTTCTTCTACATGTCAGTAAAGCCAGCATGGTTTAGCAGTTCATCAACATCATAAGGAGTTGATATGTAAAGTGGCTTACAAATTAGAATAATATATGTCATCAAATGCATAATTCACCCAAAAATTAAAACTGGCTGAAAATGTTCTCGTTCTCAGGCCATCCAAGATGTGGTGAGCTTGTTTCTTCTTGGGAACAGAGTTGGAGAAATTTAGCATTGCTCTGCAATGTTGACTAATGGATCCTCCTTCATCATTAAGACGTTTTTAACTTCTGGCAGAAATAGAAGTCCTCTATTATCATCATTCAAAATTTGGTGTTTTGAAAAAGCGTCAATATTTTACTTTAGGGGTGCATAGTAATGGTTAAACTGATAATCACAACAATTAATCATGATTGTTGTCATTCGAGGAATTTTAATAAGAATTATTGCACTTTCACATAAGTACAAATCAAGAAAACGTCATGGTTTGCATGCGTGGTTACCAAATGCATGGTTTAAAGGGGTCATGTGATGCGATTTCAATTTTTCCTTTCTCTTTGGAGTGTTACAAGCTCGTGGTGCATAAAGAAGATCTGTAAAGTTGCAAAGACTAAAGTCTCAAATCCAAAGAGATATTCTTTATAAAAGTTAAGAGTCAGCCACACCTACCTAAAACGGCTCGTTCTAACACGCCCCCACATGTCTACATCACTATGTGAGAATATTTGCATAACGCCGCCCAAATGTTCACGCTAAGAAAGAAGGCCTAACTTTTATTCTCGCTGTAGTATTGTTGCTACCGCCGCGGCCATGTCGTGAAGGCGCTGTGTGTTTCGTTGTGAAAGCGAAACTACTTTGTTTGGTCTTCCAAAAGAGGACACGATGACTCACAGCCTGTAAGTACGTTTTTTTATATTTAAAGAATTTGCCACTGACGATTCAAACGTGAGTTTTGAGCAGTGTAGAGTAGCGCTTGTTGTTTGTCATTTCTCCGATCACAAATGCAGACATGGTTTTATGTTTATGCGGTGCGATTCAACGCGTAAAAAGACAGTATAAGTCATTATAATCCGTAATTATGTCCCCACTGGATGCAACAAACGCCTCGTTTATAATGGGTTTTAATGTTTTTGTCTCGTCGCTCCGGCCGGGACAGGGCATTACAATATGGTAAGGGGCGTAACACGCCGACACACGCTTGAGGTATTCGGCCAATCACAATGCACTGGATAGCTGGCCAATCAGAGCACACCTCGCTTTACAGAACGATGAGCTTTGTAAAAATTGACGCGTTTCAGAAAGGAGGGGCGTAGAGGAGAAACAATAATGTACAGTATGTGGAAAATAATGTTTTTTTTTAAACACATTTCATTACACCAAATACACAAAATAATGTTCTTTTTAGCAACATCATATGACCCCTTTAATTTCCTTCATCTAGTTTCCTGATTTATTATGTTTAGCCTATCATGTACTGCATTGAAAGCAATGTAAAACCAACAATTCTCTCAAAAGCGAAACCTTCAAATATTAACTCAAACCTATCAAAATCTATTAAAACAACAGCAATATTAACTTTGTGACACAGAAGTTGCACAAGTACATCTTTCAGCAGCAACAATCGCAAACAGTTGAAATCATTAAAGTTCATTACCGAGACGTTTTTTTTAGACGTTTTAACCGAAGGCAAAACGAAGGGTAAAAATTGCTAGTAAATTTCACAAATAAATAGCAAGTAACACAACATTACATTTTGAAGTAGAAAAACATTTTTAGAGATCTTTAGAGAATCTGTGCTAAACAAACGAGTTTTGCAGGTTTTTCATGTATGTATTAATGGAACTTTTTTTTGTCATTCAGTTTAAAAGGGAACCCAGATGGATTTAATGGTGTACTTCTGGAGTGTGACAGCACTGTACAGGACTCCATTATGCAGCTTCTGAAAGTTTACAAGATACGTCGCAAAGTAAACTTCAGCTTGTGTCCCAGTCTCTCACTATGGGCTCTGTTACCTCAAAATAAAGCTGCAGTACTGGGGCAGTCAAAGCCAGATGTTACTGCAGCAGATAAAGTGTTAGTACTGGAGCAAGACCCAAGAACTGAACTCATGGGCTGGAGAATGATCACTAGCTGTCAGAATAACCCACATGAGATCATCTCTGCTTGTCGAGAGGGCAACAATGAAGAATACCACAGACATCGCTATGAAATCGGTATTAAACCACTTGTATTATTACTTAGAATAATCTTGACAAGCTGATGCATGTGTTGATCATCTACATTGCTCTGGACTTAAACATGCAGTCTTTTTAAGAAAGTGGATATGGATAATTGACATGTTAATAAGCAGTGACGGCACTGTTCTGCAGTGTAACTAGCTATACTTCATCTAAATCTATTTGAGATTAATTCTTCTCAAGCTATTTTATATAAATGATTCAAGCAGCTTTATGACCTCAACTAAATTGAATGACGCTGTACAATTTCTTTTTACTTTTAAAAGTACTTTAAACATTCATTTGTCACACTGCTGGACCATGCAAATAAATAATATAAAAAAGATCAGTCAAAAACCTAAAATATAGATGTTCCCTAATGCATACACCACTAGTGAGTAGTTAATTATTATTATTATTATGTAGCTACAAAAAATGTAAACGGATCTAGTATATTAGCTTCTTCAAAACAGCCATCTTTTGTCTAGATTAGGCTTTTCTCAATGATCTGAGATGCTTATTAAACACTACCTAAAAAATAATAATAACAATCAAGTTTATTAAAGAAATTCATATGCTTGCACATTTATATTTGTCTATAAAACTAATTTGAGCTTTTAAGCACAACATTTTAGATCAACTATTTAGAAGAATAAGACAGTCATTTTGATGTGAAAAAGTGGCATAATTCATGATCTATAAGTTTTTACCTGAAATTTGTTTATATTGTTTGGTAATAGTAGCATTTTGTCCATTTAAATGTACTAAAATAGTATTGAAGAGTCAGCACATCCTTTGTGATTGATCGTTTCTTGTAATCAGTCCTGTAATTTAACTCATTTCTACAGGACTGCCTGAAGGAGTGAAAGACCTTCCGCCAGGTGAGGCCCTTCCGCTGGAGTCTAATCTTGTCTTCATGCAGGGAATTAGCTTCAGCAAGGGATGCTACATCGGACAGGAACTGACTGCCAGAACTCACCACACTGGTGTGATACGAAAGCGCCTAATGCCTGTTACCATGTCTGCTCCGGCTGAGACTCTGGACCAAGGTGCCGCTCTTGAGACTGAGGGGTGCAAACCAGCTGGGAAACACAGGGCAGGAATGGACTTGCTGGGACTGAGCCTTGTACGCTTGGCTCATGCCAAAGAGCCACTAAAACTTAAATCCTCTGATGGCATGACAGTGACTTTACAGGCTACTATACCTGACTGGTGGCCAAAAAACAGTAAAGATTAATGAATCAGCAACACTAGAAAGGTCAAAGGCCCACCTGAATGAATTGTGATGCAGATCATATTTAATTAAAAAAAATTAAAACTATAACTTTCACACAGAAATCTGATGACAATGTTTTAGTTGAAATAAATGTTTAAAAAATGTTTGTTATTTAAAAAGCTTTTTGAAATACTCTTACCTTGGTTTTGTTTAAAATAAATGGGTGCCAAATTTCCCCTATGTGGTATCCAACAATTATATATGTGACCCTGAACCATAAAACCAGTCTTGAGTCGCTGGGGTATATTTGTAGCGATAGCTACAAAAATTATTGATTTTTCTTTTATGCCAAAAATCATTAGAATATTAAGAAAAGATCATGTTCCATACAGATAATTTATACATTTCCTACCATAAATATATCAAAAGTTAATTTTTGATTAGTAATATGCATTGCTAAGAACTTCATTTGGACAAATTTAAAGGCGATTTTCTAAATATTTCGATTTTTTTAGCACCCTCAGATTCCAGTTTTTCAAATAGTTGTATATAGTCTGCCAAATATCGTCCTAACAACCATACATCAATGGAAAGCAATGGTTATTCAGCTTTCAGATGATGTATAAATCTCAATTTCAAAAAATGACTGGTTTTGTGGTCCAGGTTGCATAAAGCAAACACATTACTGACATTTTAAACACGAATAAGAAACATCTACTAAAACATTGTTTTATCATCTTTGATATAGCACTGGAAGGAGCATGTCAACATCTTTAATGGAGAAGTCCAAGTTTGTGTGCTCATAACCTAATATTTGTCATCAGTGTTGGGGGTAACGCATTACAAGTAACTTGAGTCACATAATCAGATTTCTTTTTCAAGTAACTAGTAAAGTAATGCATTACGTTTAAATTGACAACAAAATATCAGTGTTACATTTTCAAATAAGTAACGCAAGTTACTTACAAGTTGCCATGTTGAGAGAAATTGGGAGTGAAGTGCAGAGGCACTTCCTTCAGCCCGAGGCTTGTTAATTTCACTTTTGGTGTGAAAGGACCTTTACAGTTGCCAAAAATATAACAGTTTTTTGTAACGCCAAATTACATTTTATGGGGTAACACAATATTGTAATGCATTACTTTTAAAAGTAACTTTCCAACACTGTTTGCCATAATAAAAATATAATGACAGCATAAACAGCAATTAAATAACACAAATATGTTGTTAAAAGAATTTATTAACATTTGCCATAGCTGATCTTCCACATACAGTATAACTTTTATACAATGGTTCGAACAGCCTCTCTGATCTCCTGAAGAAGTTCCTCAGGTTTGAAGGTCAGAGTTGAAGGGTCTAGTCTCTTAAAGTCTTCGTTGCCAAGCATGCTCTCAAATATATGCAATACTCTCTGAAGGTCAAAGGCTGCATGCTGAGGGCCTAAAGCAAACAGACTTTCGGCAAGGTGGTCTTGGCAATTATCTGCATTTCTGGGACATGAATTTAAAAAGGACATTCGATTATTTGCAATAGTCTTAAGGAAAGAGGCAAACTCCCCATAATCGATTCCTGTACACGATTTCATGATCACCTGAAAACGAACATAAATCAATGTATTACCCCAGGAATATTACAATGATGTTTACAGGATTATGATTTTTCAGTAGTACTGCAGCACATAGCGAGTCTTTATTAGCCACATTTGTTGGACCTAAAAAGGTGATGACTGATGCCAAAAATAAAAAGTTACCTGACAATGCTGATGCCAGCTATCCATAGTATCACGCCATTCCTCGATTTCTCTCTGGACAGAAGAAAGTTCTTCTTGCAGAAACTGCCACATGATATCCAAATTACAGCCATTCAGCCAGTTATGATTGATGGAAATGGTATCCTCCTATTATTAAAAGATGCATTATTGAAACGGAGTTAGCAAGTTGGTCAAGGAAGCTTTTTCTCTTTAGGGGTTGGAGAACCAAAAGAGCTTGATACTACAGTCTTTCATAAAAATGTCAAAGATAACTTCTAGTACAGACTCAGAGGTGTCCAGTCCTGCTCCAGTTATCAAGGTCTTCCAAGACTGCACTCCAGAGGTAGATTACTTACAAATTGTAATCCGTTATTGATTCCCCATTACATGACAAAAACTGTAGTTAGTATTGTAATCCATTACATTACACATTTCAGGTAATATAATCAGACTACTTTTAGATTACTTTTGAACACATTGATTTAAATAGGATAATCTTGTACCATATCGATACAAAAATGCATAGAAAAAGAAAAAATATTCCATTCGTTGTTGTTATTTACAATCACAGCACACACTGGCCCAGCTAACCAATCACAGCACATTTCGTATTTCAGAAGGCGGGCCTTCATTTGATACAGGAACTATTCGAGCCGTTCATGCCAGACTGGGGAGAGAGGTGTTGTAATAATGTAAAATATGTGAAAAATAATGTGTTTTTCGAACAACCTAGTATGAGAGCTTGTTCTAGTACACCCCCAAAACAAAATCAAGACTTTGTAAAAGAGCATAATAGGACCCCTTTAATATGTAATTTAATCTAATTACAAGTACTTAATTTTTGCAATCTGATTACGTAATCCAGATTACATGTAATCAGTTATTAGCAATTATATTGCTATTATATATCAGTTATTACCAGCTCTGCTGTGCTCCAATTGTATTTTTGGGTCAATCTATCTCAAGTGGTTCAATTTTGGTTGCTTGACCATTTTTTGTTTTCCTAATTTTTTGAGTGATAACTTCTATGTATTGGTATAGCAAAACCATCCGTTTTTATTTTTAATTAAAATTAATGGCCCACAACACATTTTTGGATGTACACAAAATTTACCAAAAACCTCAATATTTCAGCTCAGGTCTTAGCTCCTTGAAGCAAAAACTGATCTCTAACGCACATTACATGGTAAAAGCACATTCTTGTTCCTTAGACTTAGAATTTAAGACCAAATGTATTGATCACTCAGTGTTCCACTTCTAGGGTTAGCAAGTTCAATTTTTAATGGTTTCCCTCAATTTCAGGCTGATTATCTCTGGTGGGGGACCAACCAGATAGGAACCTGACATTTTCTGAGATATACGTCCTCTATGACATTGGCACCATTCTGCTGTAAACATTATGAGTTTCTGAGACTCTGATGGTTACAGACCTTGGGCTAGTGGAAATCGGTGGAAAAACTAAGGGAATAAAATTTGATGTATGTTTGAGAAATTAACAGATGTAATATAAGCACTCAAAATAATACTGTATAAATTACCTTCATTTACAGTAATTATGCTTATGACTGACATAGAATAACTTATTATTGTAAATGAGATTTAAAACGGTGATTCTGGACATTTCTTAACCCTCCTGTTGTGTTGAGGTCAATTTGACACACAATTTTCAAACTGCTCAAAATAATGGTTAAACTATTTATTTCTTCTTGACATTTTTGAGTGTGTTTAGGTGTGTTTTAGAAATGCAAGACAACTTATGAAATTTAAGACGTAAGGTTTACTTGAAACTGAAAGTAATTTTCTGAATTGTCACTGTTTCTTTATCTAGTTGAGTTACACAGCCCAAAAAATCTGGCCAGGGTTTGAGAAAAACACAACAAAAAAACAAAGCAAGTATAAATACAGCAATACTATAATACAATACTACGTGCATTGAGTACAAATAATATTAGATAC